GGCCCGACGTAGGAGGGGGGCCCACCAAGGGGGGAACGCGATTTCTACCGAGGGGAACGCGGAACACGATTTCTATGAGATGCTCAGGCCCTAGCCCGGCCCGTTTCTGACAGCTTATCAGAATTACTTTTCTGTAATAAATGTCTTTTTTTCCCCCTTCTCCAAAACAGCTCATACTACTGTTTCAGCTATTAAAATAGTTCAGTTTTGTATTTAATGGCAAAGTGGTTACATTTCGTTTAGTTTTTTTGTTAAGTTAATTTAGAAAAACGTTTGGAGCATTTTTTGTTCGTTAAATATAAGTTTTTGTTTTTTAAAGTAAGGACCAAGCGGCCAGCGGCAGACAGTGAGCCGATCAATTTAGCCTTCTCAAATCATCACGACTTGCCTGAAATAAAATCTAGCCTATAGATATAAAACCGTTCAAGCATATAACAATGTTTTAAACGTTAAACCTAGATAAATGTGCGCTATAACCAATAGTTTGTGCGGAGAGTGGAAGCTGAAGCGCGCTTTGCAAGACATGGAGGTGCCAGCGCGATCACTTGTGTTTTTTTCAGTGGATAGCCTACGCCGTCATTTTTGCTCATAAAGGTATAAAAGTAATACACCATTCGTAACTGTAAAGAGTCTACATTTATTTGTGTGCACTCACAATATCAACAAAACGTTGTGCTTTTATAAAATAAAGAAAGAGTGGAAACTAAAGCATGCTTTGCAGGACATGGAGGCGCCAGCGCGATCACTTGCACTTTCTTCAGTGGATACGCCGTCATTTTTGCTCATAAAGGTAAAACTCGAGTAATACATCATTTTTTATTTGTGTGCACTCACAATATCAACAAAATGTTGTGCTTTTATAAAATAAAGAAAACTAGCATGATGCGCTTTCTGCCGTCTCGACAGGAGCGCTTCACAAAAATGAACTGAACCTCAGCGAATACATGCCTCACAGACATGATAAATATATCTATAGAAAGCTTTAAATTATTACTACTTAATAATTACTTAGTAATTACTACTTAACGAAATAAAACAAATCAAAGTGTCTTTCATTATAAGTCATAATTCGTAAAGATGCACTTCTCTCTAAAGGCGCGTCTGAGGAGATGGCGAGTCAGGATCGACAACTTCATCCTTGCGACTCAGAAAACACTAGTTTATTAGTAAATAATTAATATATCTCTTTACTATTTCCCCCTGACACATTTATGGTAATTACTTTTGCCAGTGCTTTGCGGCAAGCTTAAGCTATTTTTTTCATCACTAATTGCTGAATGTCGTAATATAAAAACAAGGAGAAGCCTAAAACAGGCCCGAAGTCCGGCCCGCGTCTGAACTATGAAGTGAAAATTGGCCCGAAAAAAATCGGGCTGAAATGCACCAAACAGATATTACCTTCAATTATTTCCACACTTAATTATACCTGTTAAAATGTATTGTATAAGCTTTTGTTACTTTCACTGTTCATTTTAATGGCTCCATTGCAGCAGCTCAATATACTGTAATCACAAAATGTTTTCCTAAAATAATGCAGGGCACCACTCGTTATACATTATACGAGTGCACGCGTACTATTTTGGTGATGTAATTTGCATCATGCGCAGTGTACATGGACATACGCAGCGCGCACACTTTGTATTGGTGCAGAATGAGAGAGAAACTTACAGCCTAGCGCATTTCACCCAGTCTGCTAGTTTCACTTCTGCTTTAAATAAAGTTGTGTATGCTTGACGTTTAAAATAAATGCAGTTTATAGTGAATGCCCCTATAATTTTAGTTTGTTTTATATTTACGATTTAGTTTTAATCAAATGCATGCGCTAATGGAGCGAACAGCAATCAAGATCATGCAACAGAAGTGCACGCTCTCAGACTCTCTCTCGCTCTCTCTCTCTCCTTACCGTCAAATAATTTTAGTAACTTGTGCATTTTACTTACTTGCTTTTGAAATATCTGACCGAACTACAAACTTTCCAGTGATGTCTGTGAGATAGTCACTCGAAAAGCTAGCGCATCTGTGCCGCCACGCGCTCTGCTTATCAGCTCGCGCACATCCGCTATACAGGCGTGGATATTGAATGTAGCTTAAGCTATTTTTTTCATCACTAATTGCTGAATGTCGTAATATAAAAACAAGGAGAAGCCTAAAACAGGCCCGAAGTCCGGCCCGCGTCTGAACTATGAAGTGAAAATTGGCCCGAAAAAAATCGGGCTGAAATGCACC